ATTTTCAGCTTCCTAGCTTTTGTGGTTCCTGAGTTGAAAGTTGCGGACAAGTTGCTGCGGACACACGCAAACACACACACAGACAACCCTGTGACAATATTCATTTTGTACTGCTGTTACACAGCACAAAACGCATAAAAAGTGCTAAACACGCAGAAATGCGATCGCATTCCTGATCCACTGACCAAAAAAAAATATTGTGTAATTTTATAATTAAAATCATATGTCACTCACATTTCTTCCAAAATTCGGAAATCAAACAGTTCTTTCTTTGGAAAAAAAGCAAAAAAAAAAAAATCAAAATTTGCAAGATATTTCGTTTAGGTGACAACTGCGCGAATACATTCACCGCGCAGCAAATGGCAAGAATGCACTGCTACATCGATCTGATGTACACCAACTGGATTGTGCGTTCGACAGTCAATCCCACTCATATTCCCATCAGTCCACGAATTACACCACATACGGATGCGCCTGCTTTCAAAAGCGTCAAAATTGTGAATTTCAATCATTTCGTGCCTATAACAAAAAAGAAATACAAGTCATAAATCAGTTATTTCAGATGTGGGCAGCACCGTTGAATGGCCTGAAGTGCGGTCCACAGCAAAAACATGCCCGCAGCACATACTGTACGGCCGAAAACCGAGTAGTGCAGTACGCCATTTCGGCCAGTTCATCGGAGCCTTTTCAAATGGCCGGTTTCTGGGGTCCAGAACAAACCACTGGTAATAATTCTGAAAGTTACTACAACTCCAAAAGCCTTTAGTTACGGGCTACTGGCACTAATATTAGTTTTTTGGCTAGCAACAGTTTCATCGCTTGCGCACGCCAACTCACTCCGCAAAATTTCGGCGATTTCTCAAACCATAAAGTTTCCGACACTTTCATGCGTTTTTTGCAGCTATGCAATGCAGAAAACGCATACTGACAAGGGGTTGTCTGTGCGTCCGTGTGTGCGTCTATCATGCACTTTCATCTCAGGACCTATAAAAGCTGCAGGGCTGAAATTTCGAGAACTTAATCTACAAGCACGTGCCGGCTCCAATCCCCAAAATGAGCGCCAAAACCCGCGTGGTACCCGCGTACGGGCCACCAAAATTTTTTTGAGGTACGTTCATAAATCGGGGATCTGAGAAGCTAGAATACTGAAATCTTAGAGGGATGTTCCCCGTTCAAGAAGGTGTTGATGCACTGAAACCCATCCCCCGGGTAAGCGTGGTACCCGCGTAGGGGCCCGCCAAAATTTTTTTCGGGTAAGTCCATAACTCGGGACAACTGAGAAGCTACAACGCTGAAATCCTAGGGGAATGTTCCCAGTCCAACTAGGTATTAATGCACTCAAACCCAGCCCCCCGGGTAAGTATGGTATCCGCGTACGAGCCCGCCAAAATTTTTTTTCGGGCAAGTTCATAACTTGGAGATCTGAAAAGCTAAAAAGCTGAAATCTTAGGGCAATGTTCCCCGTCCAAGTAGGCATCAACGAGTTCAACCCTGCCCGCTGGTAAGCGTGATACCTACGTATCGGCCCTTGAAAGTTTCTTCCGGGTAAGTTGCTAACTCGGGAAAGTGAGAAG